TTTTGATGCCATGAGAAGATATTGTAGTAGAAAAAATTGATTGTTTGTTTTATTTAAGTTTATAATGGTGATACAGATCAGGCAATTTTTATCAATCAGTGATCTTAAATTAGATTAACATGTATCATTACGCGTTCATATTTTTGTTGCAAATATAGCACATGTGCATGGTCGAAAATCTATTTATTGGTTGTCAATCTTCATAGTACATTATCGCCCGTCACGAGTGTCCTGTACATTTTTGCCAATTATTTTGGTCATGTGCAGATTTAAATCTCATGACTATGAGAAAATAACAGAATAGATTGTATTTAATGCGAAATCTGCAATTACAACATAATTACCATTGATGCGAAATTTTTTGCTATTTGCAGCATCAAATCCGATTGTGTAATTGTGAAGTGCACTTCCGAACGAAAACTATATGCCGGGAGAAATTTAAATCGATTTTTTTATAATAATTTCTATGGAATGTAGGTCCCAAAATTTTTTATTATAAAAAACTTTATACAATATATGATTTTTCACTATATCATCTGCACTATGTTTGGAAATCAACCGATAGAATACACCCCAATAAACTATCGTATTACGTGAACTAAAATAAAAAGGGCAGCTTCGTCCCACTAATATTGTACTTGTAAATTAAAATTTGATGATCTTATCGATTCAAAAGTATATCATATAAAAAAATAGCCAAAACTTCTTTTGGATGTGCTGATCGAATTTCTTTTTCTTTTAAAGTTTTCTAAAAACGAATTGTTTCGTACATAATACATTTACAAAGTTATGAAGCTTTTTTTTATATAAAGTTATAAAACATTGATCCCAAGTTTATTATTTCTATTTTTCAGTGTTAAACAGTGCTAAAATTTTAAATTTAAACCGAATTTAAGTTTTTTAATTATAAAAAAAACTCTTATATACAGTCGACTCTGACTATAAAGAACCTCTATATAACGAATTCTGGATATAATGAACTTAAAATTTTAAAATTCCATAGTAGTTCAGTATAGAAAGTGCTATTGATTCTTAAGAAAACATAGTAATTTTCTATAATGAACATTTTTTATTCCAGAACTGTTAGTTGTTATAGAAAGAGTTGACAGTATTTAGATTTATTTCTTAACCTCATTGTTAAAGAATAATTACTAAAGATATTTTATGTTTTATTTTTTTTTTTAGAAAAAAGGATTTCTGCGCACAGTTTTTTTAAGAAAATCCAAAAGAAATCTAATTATCAATCCTAGCACAGAAAATTTTTGGTGAAATATTAAAATGGATTTTGGCAATCTGTTGAAAGACATTAATATAGCTTCTTTAAAACTAAAAGAAAAACATCTTGATATTTCTATAAACAATCAAGATGATTTAGAAACAGTTTTGAAAGTGATGCCCAAAGGAGAAAATGGTCTAAAGAAGTTGAAACTAATTTTAGCATGTTGTAAGTTTTATTTTTTATTATTATTAAAACTTAAAATTAGTAAATATGTCTAATAACTATGCAATTTATATATAGCTTAGAAAGAGTTTTCTTTGTACAAAAAACTATTCTAACTTGAGTTAGTATAAGTTTTTACTTCTAGAGACTGCTTTGTAATTCTATTTTTTACCTTATATCTTGTATATATATAAAAATACAATCAATTATATTAAATACCCAATATATTACATGTAAATTTTTTAATTATAATCAAATAATTGATATATTTAAATTTTAAAAGAATTTACGCATAAAGACCCAAAAATAAAAATAATTACAGATAAGAGCCCAAAATAAAAATTTTTATATATAGCAGTCTAAAATCAAAAATTATTACAAATATGGGCCTATTTAACTTTTAAGCTATATTATACAAGATATACATAGCATTACCCAGAAAAAATGATACAGTATCACTAAACTAGCTTTAAGGTGCAATTAATATTTTTGCACTAAAAAGCTAAGGGCACTATTCACAAATCTTGTCAACAAATTTGACTTTACAAATTTTAACACATTGATAAAAAGATCTTTATACATAATTAAATAATACAATAAAAAGATATAATATGCTTTTAAACATTAAAATTCTTTGTATTTATATTAATCAACTAGAAGTAAAGCAAAGTATAAAATATTTACAAACTTAAAATAGCTTATTTAAATATTTACAAACTTAAAATAGCTTATTTAAATGATTGAACAAAATTATATTTTTGTAAATTCAAAATGCAAAAATTCTCAAAAAGTGAAAGTCAAATTGAAAGTCAAAAAGAAGTTAAAGCTAAAACAAAAGTCAAAACAAAAGCCAAATAAAAGTCAAAGCAAAGAAGAATCAAAGCAAAAGTCAAATTTAAAATGAAAATTAAAGTAAAATCTTAGCAAGAGTCAAAGTGAGAGCCAAAGCGAAAGTCAAAGTCAAAGCAAAGATCAAAATAAAAATCAAAGTTCTAATATTTATTATTATTAAGTATGATAAATATAACTTTATAGGCAATCAGTTTCAATATTATATATAAGCCATAAAAAAATCTAGTTATTATTTTTTTTGGACAACACTATATAAGTCTTGTGGTTTAGTTATCTAATATAGCTCAAAATCAGCAGGCTTTTATTTGTAATAAATTTTAGTTTTGAGCTGCTATATATAAGAATTTTAATTTTGGGTCCTCATCTATAATTATTTATATTTTTGGGCCTTTATGTGTAAATTTTTCTAAATTTATATGTAAAATTTAGAAAAAGTTTGCTTTTAAGATTATTTGATAAAAAAGAAGACAGTTTAATTTCTGAGTATCATTTTGCAAATTTTCTAACATTTGAAAGTTCTTCTTACAAAATTTTAAGGGTAGTTTAAAATGCAATTGAGAAGAATTTTGGCTATAAAGTTAGCTATTTTTTTACAATTTTTACTATTTGTTTATAAGTAAATAAATAATGTATATTGTTTTACCAAAATAGAGCTATTAAAATTTTACTTTCATATAAAGATCTACAATAGAATAAGCCTCTCTTTAATGATTAGAAAAATTAAACAAAATATTTATTTTTTCAAAAATTATTTATTTCTCAAAAATTTGCATAAGTAACCACCTTTTGCACTCTAACAAAAAATTTTTTGGAGCAATTTGACTTTATAACCAGCTAAATGTTTAACCCTATTGTAAGCACTAACTCTAATTTAAATAAACTTAAAAATTTTTTTGTATACCACAATACTATTACATAAAAGTAAAAATTTTGATAAAAATATTGCTGTACTATCATAGAAAGAAGTTCATCTGATTGGCTAATAGAAATTAATTGCTCAGATAATTTATTTATATGTTTTAAAGTACTTTTTAAGAATATGATATTTCATTAACAAAAATTCATTACAAACACCATTGACAGCTCTAGAAAAGCATCTTTATTCACTATGCAAAATAATCCAAGAATAATCTAAAACTAAAAAACTTAAAAGACAAAATATTTTTATCATTTATTTTAGAATGAGGTAACTGAAAGCATTTTGTTTAAAATTGCTTTATTATATTAGATTTGAATAAACCTCTATTACTAACTATTAGATTTTAATAAGAATAGGCTTATAATAAAGAAAGGTTCAGGTCTAACACTTGACTATATTCTGTTTTGCAGTATATTGGAACTATTTATTGTTAATAGATTTTGGTTTATAGATCATATATATATTGTATTAATAAGTTTGGATTTATAAATAAAAAATACCACTTTTACTCTGCTTTATGTGTATCTATCTATTCTATATATATATGAGATTAATTAATTCTTTGGTAAATAAATAAATTTATATGCTTTTTTTATGAAGCTTTTCATATCAGAAATATAGTTATACTTGTATAACAGAGTATATAGTTAACTGCTACCTAGAATGCTATATTCGCAAATCTTGTATTTGATTAAGCATTAAATTATTATAATTTTATATATTAATATACCTTTATCAAAAATATAGCTTGCATAGTAGAGTTTATAGTTTACTGCCATCTAGAATAATGTATATACAAAATCTTACATTTAATTGATAGTGTAGCATAATCATAGCAATTATATTTACATGTCATATATAGCATATCAGATACTCTTATATCAAGCAAAAATTAGCTCCCTGTTCTCTGATTCTTAAGTCTCCAGTTTGATTCCCAGCCTAAAATCCACAATTCTAATTGGTTATTTTTGAATATATAATAGTTAATTTTTTTTTGCATCTCTTTGTTATAAAAGTATTTTTTATTTTTGATAACTAACTATATTTTGCTTTACTAAGTATTTACTTATTTATCTTTAATTCTTTAATAACTTTTTTTTGCCTTTCTTTGTTTTTTTTTTATAAATTTTAACAAAGTTTATAAATTTGCACTTATTAAACCTGTGTTTAATAAAGTTATACCTAATGAGATAGTACATATTAAACCTGCAATCAATAAAACTATATTTCAAGAAGTTGTATCTGAAAAACTACATCTAAAAAAACTATATCTGAAGAAGCTGAATCTGAAGAATTGCAACTGATAAATTTGTCTATTAACCTATATCTGATCAACCTACACTTGAAAAGTATGATAATAGTGAAGAATTATAATAAGAACTTGTTAACATAGTTATAAATCATACTTTAACCTGTAGTAAAGCTTAATTTTTATTATATATACTTGAGAAATAGGAAGGGTATTGTAAATTTATTTTGCCTCTTGCTACATATAGTAGTTGAATAAAAAGGAGAAATCTTCTAAGAATATTAATTTTATAAAATCTCATTAAACTTATAGAAAAAAAATAGAGCTTGGTCTGAGCATTATACTTGCTCACGTACTAAAATAAAGCAAATATATACTGATTATATAAAGGGTGGTATTTCTTAAAAAAATGATGTATTTAAAAAGAATTAAAAAAAGTCAGATGTAAATATGTATTGCAAATCAATTACTAGCTAGCAATTTGTTTAGAGGTTGTTGTAGCTCAATATTAGTATAAGTATAATGCTTATGTATTGGGTAGTTATGCTAATATTTAGTATTTAAGAAAATTTTAAGAAGTAATTAATCAAATAAGGCAATTCACCTATCAAAGATTATCTCTTTTATCAATTTATTGATTAATAAAAACTCTTGAAAAAATATAGCACCAGGATATAGATAAAATTTTTTAGATTACGTGAAAATATGCTTTCTAATTAAGATCAAAATTATATAATCACATGATTGATTTGAATACCTAACATAATCTAATCCTAACTCTAATCTTTTTTTTTAATATTAAGGTGAGGTCACACCTCTGGTTTTTATTAATATATAGCTTTGGCAATTACAATTACATATATATATATATATTTTTTTTTTTTTTTTAAAATATTAAGATGACTACTTTGGGATCTGGCATGGTTTATTAACTTCTTAGTTAAATTATCAGGATGCCAAATGGGTACTCCTTGACTTTGTTACATCAACAAGAGTACAATTAGTCATACTACAACTTTAGTCATTATCTAATTAAGGGCTTTGCTATATCTATTTTTATCTATAGTTATCTACCAATTGCCATATCTAGAATCCGCTTGTGGATCTCCTATTTAAACTCTCTGATCAACTTAGCGCCATCAGATGCTTTTTCCAGAAGAATTCCTGTTGCTAAGGCCTATTAGAACTACTTTATCCTTGTGGTAAACCTACCAGAGTAGTCTATGTCTCATACATGTATCACCTGGGTTTTTCGAAAACATACACCCCAATCTGAGAACTGAAACTTGTGATCTTCTGCATTGCTACCATAACCTACTTTTCGCCCTTTACAAGGTTCATTCTGATCCCAATATCTACTTTCAACCAGACCTTATACTTATCTCTCCCAACTACCAAACTAGTTAGCCCGGAAGGGTTGTTATACTTATGCTCTAAGTACCTTCTAGTTTTACTTCTCTTGGTTCTGAATTCTGTAGCATCAGACCTTTTCCTCCAGTACAACTCCGGTGGCCAGGTTGGTGAACCCTTATGCTTCAGGGTTGTTTATCCGGTTATTTGGTCACTGGTTTTGGTTTTCTGTAATATCATTAAAGATCTTCACTACTTTTAGCTCGAGTCTTGCCAAACGGGTTTTAATTATTCTAGTTCTTTGGATTTAGATCAGCCTAAAGCTTCTATAACGAGATGGTAGTACCAAGGTTACAGGTGATATACCCAACCGATCATTAAATAAATGTTACCATAATACAGGTCTATTTTTTGAAAAATGTCTCTAGTAGGAATTGAACCCTAGACCTGCCGCTTGGAGGGTAACAACTTAACAATTACTCTATGTCACCACATTCTACATATATATAAATATTAACTTTACAAACTACAGAGACTTAAAATAATTTATCTATGATCTAAACCTACTAGAGTGGTCCATACCCCACATATATATTATCTAGCTTTGTGCTTCCTAACTAACTATTTCTAGTAACTACATATTTTCCCTATATCTTATATGATTAGTTATAACTTCCAAGTTGGTACATCAGATATCTACTTTAATGAGCTTC